CAAAAAAAAAAAAAAAAACTCATTCTTTTAGAAGATATCCAAGCCAAGTATATCTACTTTTTCAGCCTTTGAACTAGTTTAAACCAATGTCGAACAATATGGAATTATAATAACAACTTACATGTAGCTGCTCTCTCATCAGGAACTGTAGAACAATTTCCGATTGTTGCAGAATCGACACGAGCATTAAAGTCGTCAAAGGAAGGCACCTGTAGAACATCAATTGCATCTTCAATCTTGTTGTGATTCATAAGAACAGTTTTGACCCGCTAAATGTGCAGAAAAAGAACAATCAGATCTCCCAAGAGCTTTCATTTATGACAAATTAAATGATTATGATTCCTACGGATATCTTGATATCAAACCATCTTTATGCAATTCCTTTCTGATAACATGTCGAAGCATCACTTATAAACAGATATCCAAGACAGAATCAATAACATGGAGCAGAAGTAATGCTCCCTAAAAGTGAAATTCATATAGCTTCCTCATACCCTGAATCAGAAATGAAACATAAACGTGCCATCGTTCCAAGTAAAAACAAAAATGAAAAATTCACGCAACAAACCTCGGCACCGACTCCCGGAAACATTTGAAGCAGAACCGAAGCAGAATCCTCAGGTCCGGACCCGAACTCCGATCGGGTCGGGGATCCGAAACTGGACCACCGGGACCTCTTTGCCGAAGAACAGGCCGTCGGAGAAGAAGATCCGAAGATCTCCTCAAACCCCACCCGCTTTCCACATACTCCAGCCGACATAGCCTCCTCCTCCTTAAACCCCCAAAAATTTCTCGGGTCAAAAACCCTAGAACGAAATCCCCAGAAATCAGAAATCAGAATCAAAATCCTCTCGACCCAAAACAGAGATCCTTAGAGGGATTTCGCGTGCTGCGAAATGGCCGCAACCCACGAATCAATCTGTTGAAAAACGTGAAACAGATTGAGGAAAATGCCGAGGGAATTGGGGGAATAGGGTTTGATGAAGGGAAGAGAAGGAGCAGGTTGAAAGAGGTGAGATGAGATGAGGCGAGATTTTGGCGTTTAATGGGGCTTCGAATCTTTAGATATTTCAACCATTGAAGTTTACAGTTACGGTAGATGCAAGAAAAAGATAAAGTATCTGAACAGAAGACAGTAGAGAAAAACAAAAACAAAATCAAAAGTTGGTATTAAATATTGATGAAAACTTCTACACATAATTTAGTGTTGTAATTCGAGATTAATAATAACTAATCTCTACTCAACAATATTTAAAATTTGATCTTTTGGGAAAGTGATTTTGCAAATCAAAAGTGTAAATGGCTTTTGCACATGCTAACATTACTACTTGTTGTGAAACAAGTTGCACCAAATAAAGAAAAAGGTTAATAGTGATCAGGAGAAGAGACTTGAAAATAAAATACAATTATTGCAATAAAGTAAACTTGCACAAATCAAGATATATTAGGTGTATAATAAGTGTATCGCATGATTTTGCACTGCTTAGACCATATACTTTCTGTATATATATCACTAAGTGTTTGATTTCTGTGGTCAATTTATTGTGTCTGGTGAGCATTTATTTGTGTTGAGAGTTCTTGCAGATTCATATGAATGGATGGATTCTCCAGTTTCAGCAGTTGAAGCACTTCTTTCTCCATCACCATTGTTTCTCTCATCAGACACTCCATACAGAACCCAACTGAACTCAAACACAGTGTCATTTGGCCTTTCAGATTTGCCTCGCCTTCATCATTTGTGTAAACTTTGCTCAATATTTCATTTGCATTTTGACGGAAGGAACCCACAATTTTCTCAACTTCTTCTTCACTGAGACCAAGAGCTCTGCATCCATCATTTTGAGACTTCCCCATCTCCATTTCATCGCTCTGGTTCTGGTTTTTGTTCTGCAATTGCTTTAGGGACTTTACTAGACTCGCCTTCTCCATGAATTTCAGAGAACGTTGAACTTTTATGCTGAAAAGCTCCATATCCTCACTTAAACTATCATGGAGCTCCTTCACAACATGCCCATATCTATTGAGTTCTAGAGACAGAAGCCTCATTTCATGAACCAGAAACTGTAAGATATCCACTGTTTTCTGAAGAGATTTCAGAAGCTTATCATAGCAGCTACCTTGGAAAGGGGTGAACCAGAAGTTAGGTTCATACCCAGCTTCTACAATGAACTTCTCCAATTGGGCAACATGAGATTTCAGAAATTTGTGCTGCTCTATCAGCTCAAGTAAAATGGAAGATTCATTATTCAAGTTCTTTTGGGGGATAAGGATTACCCTTCTGATGCAATCTTGAAGGGCGCGCAAACTTTTTGAGAACTCAGCTTTGGCCAGAGTTGCTGATCTCGTTGGGTTGAAGACAACCTCCACTGTCACAAAACAAAGCAATCCAATGCAAGCTTCAGTGATTCTAGCATTAGCAAATTCAGACGGAATCCCATAATTCTTCCTCCCAAGAACCAACAATGCACCTAATGCTGATGATATTCCACCACCTTGACCATACATTCTACTGTGGACTAGAAAACTGGTAAAAGCAACCCAAGGGATAAGAGGTAAGATCCATAAATACTCATATTTTTGCAAAATAAAACAGCATATGACACCATAGATTGACCCGATTGCCGTCCCCTGCGCTCGAGCGTTAGCAACAGTGAATGTTGCTTGTCTCTCAGTTGCAAAGCTGATGGCAACCGTCAATCCTGACCAATACCCATTCGGCTTTGTGTAAACCAGACCCAGAAACACAGCCAGACCCAAAGTAATCGAGCATTTCAGCGCAAAACGCAAACTCTGATTCGTCGGCAACATGTTCGACAAAATGGCCCGACGAGTATTTTTGGTACCATGCTCTCCCAAATCGATTGCTTCCTCCCCATTGGCTCTCCGACCGTTTTCCACCCGGTAGACGAGAGTCCGGGCGGCGGCTGTTGAGTCGTACAGAAGGATTTTGACGCAACGCAAGAAGAAAGAAGGGGGCATATTCTGAGGGATAATGGGAGAACTACCAAGCGGCCAAGTGTCTGGAAACAAACCCTTCGTCTCCGGCGCGGTTGTGGCACTAGCCGGCACAGAGCACTTGAGCTGCTGTAGCTTTAAGATCAGTCTGGGTTTGAGATTTTTGGGCAAATTGCAGAGCTCTTCGTCCATTGTTTCAAAGGCAAAGGAAGGGGAAGTTAAGGCGAATTCCATCCCTCTCACTGCTACTTCAAATTCTTCCAACTTCTCCGCAACGGCCACGCGATTGAGCCTTCCATGGCCGATCCGTGGTCTTTCCCAATCCATTCCCCGCTGCTCACGAGAGAAAAACCACAGCAATTATATAATTAAACATAATGACATTTAAAATTTTAAAAAAAGAAATTCAATTGATCTCGAACAATCTAATCATACAATTACTGGTTCATCTAAATACTATGACACAATATAATAGCATTATTCCATTGAACTTTTGTTGATAAGAGACGAGAATCGAAATCGAAGTTGGGTTACGAACTTACCATATTTGTTTTGATCATGTGGAGAAGCTTTGTTCCCATGGTGGATAGAGACTTGACTTCAGCGATTGACGTAGCTGCTTCTGCTTTGCTCTTCGCACCAAATACTTGTACCAGAATCCCAACTCTCTCGCACACATTTTCCCTATAAACTTTACCCAATGTCTTCATCTGCCACCAAAAATCGTTAAGCTATGTTCTTGATTATTTTTCATATTCAAAGTATGCAATTTAGGTTTTTTTTATACCTTAATTTTAATTTGTGAACTGTATTTTTTTTATGAAATTTAATTTAATTATCAAAATATTAACAAATATATTACATTTAGTTATCTAATTTGTAGACAGTTTTACTAATTTTATCATTTTTTCTGTTTTATTCTTTAAATTTGTTTTACTTTTTCTTGACATTAAATGCAGATGAAAATTGATGAGTTTTTTTCTAAATAATTTAAAATACTGCTATCGCAAGAACCTCAACAAAATGAGTAACATACCTCAGCGTTATGCTGGTATTGACGATTTATGACCTTCGAGTATAAGAGTAGGAGTAAAATATTCCTCTTCCAATCTTAGGAAAGATGAATGTTTTTTATGCTCTTTGAAAAATGAAGATCAGACTGTTAAATTTTTAGCGATGGTAAATAGCAAATTGGGTGTTGAATTTTTCAATAAAATATTTTAACGTTGAATTATACTCATGTAAAGGAAGAATAAATACAACTATTTGTAGTGTTAATTTTTCATGTAATAAAAATTATAGAATTTTGGTGGGACTCACGTATTCTAGGAAGGGAATGGAAATTACCAAACCCAACAGATTGCCGAGTTTCAAACACCAGATTGAAGAGTCCAAATTCGTAAAGATGACAGGCAAAAATTCTCACGGAGGGTCCACATGCCCCATTCCAAATTTAGGGGAAATCTCCATTTTTAAATGGATCCGACTCCGACACGAAACAAAATTAAACGTTTATGAATATTTCTAAAATTAGTTTCGTTTAAACTTCATTAATTCTTCCATCCAAACGTAACTTAGTATATAAGACATTTAATGTCAAAACGAGTATAGTTATTCAGTGATTTGCATATATCTCCAATTAAGAGGTTTCAAATTCGATTTCCCACTCTACATGTTGTCCTTAAAAGAAAATAAAAGACACATGATACCATTTCAAATGTCAATAATTCGATCTATAGTCTAGAATGGTTGAAGTAATCAAAAAATCTATAAAACTATATTGTTTAGTTAAGTTAGTGCATGGGTACAGCTACTTTCATATATAACTTCATTTCTTTCGATTAAATTTTCAAGTTTTTTTATTTTACTTTTCAAAAAGTTTTTTAAATATAATATTCTAACGATAAATTAAACTTAGTTGAATTAGGTTTTAAAAGTACATTGATTGAGCGATGATGCTTGTATAATTATTAAATTATATATATATACACATACATATACATACATAGTTTTATCGTAACGGTGTACATATATAATTTTATCTAAATTTTTAATGGGTCTAAAATGAGCTTTTTCTGTTTTTTTGAAAGCCTTCATAAAATCCACTAAAATTAATATATTGTTTATCAACAATCAAGTTGAAATTTAAAATTGAGGATATTTTTTATGGAGCTTGTTCTTTTATAGTTGTGTTAGCAATTTTTCTTAATATTATAGAATCATAATTGCGAGCTTTTTCTTTCCCCTCGTACTACTTGATTTTATATATAGTTGGGTTGGAAAGTATTTTTTTTAACTGTATTTGGACACGTTTTATGGTGGTAGTATTATTTTATATGTTTTTTTTTTCATGCGCTAAATTATATACAAAAGGGTCCCTAATTTTTTTTAAGTATTTCTTAATTTTATTTTTGATGTTTTCGATTTTTCAATTCTACCTTTAATATATTTAAAATCTTTAATTAAGTAATTTGATTGAAAAGATTCATTAAATTATGGTAAAAATATCGATCCAATATACTGTTAAATTATTATTTTGTTATCATGATTTGACATAAAATATAGTTTGCTATTTGACATGTCTGAATTTTGTTAATTGGTGGATTCAGTTTCATAAGTAGTATCCAAGTAACAATTTTATCCATTCTCCATCACTAATTTTTTTACAATTAGTTACTTTTTTTTTTTTTGCAAAAATATATATGTTACAAATTTGAATGGATGGTTGTTTGGGGAAAAAAAAGAGCTGTGGGTGAATTATCAATATTAAGAACAAAATATCCATTGGCACCTCGACATTTTCATCCACATATTTATAAGTTCGACATCGATATGAGGAGTAAATCGATATTTCCATCATAGTACAAGAAATTCGACAAAATATGAAAAATATCAACAAAATGTCACTAATATATACAATATCATGGTTTATTATTTTTAACTAATTTAGAAATAGAAAAATGTTTATTTGTTCATTTAAATATTTTTTACGATTTTTTTTATTTTTTTAACTATTACAGAAATATCCATCGATATCGATATTTTATCGATATTTCGATGTCGATAGTTTTATTGACATTGACATTATGAAATTAAGTACTATTTTCATATTTTGAACATTTTTTATTTTTCTTTTATTCAGTGTTAATTTCCTGCAGTAAAAACAAAACTAAAGAGGAGAAATAGAGGAAGGCACAGTTAATTATTGATGGTTCTAAATTTAATTACCTGACAGGAGGAGAGCCGAGGGTACGGAATGATCATGGCGACGGCGGCGGCGATAGCTCCGGCCGCCGTACTCGACGCAACCCGAAGTGGGTGCATAAAAAAACTCGTCTCACCGCCGTTAATCACCGTCCCCACGTACACAATCACCAGCTGTCCAAACGCGATTCGCTTCGTGAGCAAGTGGGCCCGCTCCAGCAGCGCCACCACGAACCCACTCACCGCCACCGCCAACGACGCCGCCCAACGGTCGAACCGCGCCGGTCCGATCAGCCACAGGCACGGCACGGACGACACTAAAACGAGGGCCACAGCGCATGCCACGTGGAACCCAGCTCTGACGGCGTGGCCGAACGTAACGGCGTCGGATAACACTGTCGAAATGGCGGTGACGTAAGAGAAAGCCGAGAACGTCAGCATTTGCCTCACCGGCGCTGGCCCGAAAAGCGTCACGCCGCCCACTATGCTGCATGCCACAGCCGCTCGCACCGCCGAGCCCAGCCGGATCCGCCACAGCACCGCCGTGGCCGCCGCCATGTATTTTTTTTGTCTGTACTGTCTCTGAAAGGAAAATTAGAGACCGTGAAAAAAATTCTAGTCTTTAGTGATTTTTCGCTCTCTCTTCCCCATTTTTGGTAAGACTTCGATTCAATATATAAGGCAAAGTTTGGTATAATTGGAATATTTTAACCAGGAATTTTATTGTGACATTTTTTCATGTTGAAGAATAATATATATATTGACTGTACGAATATTATTTGCCATTCGTTATGGATTAAAATAAACAATGATAAAGGAGAGAAAGACCAAGACTTAGACAAAACAAATTTAATTGTTTAACCACACCTTAATTTAGACAAGTATTTTGTTCATTTACTTAATAGATAAAGTTTTACGGGATCGATGTCAAAAATTATGAGTCAGGAAGAGGGGCAAAGAAAAAAGATTCCCTTTAGTTATTTCGAGGACGAAGACATGGAACAAATTTCTCTGCCCAACCAAACCATTCATGTCATACAAAAATGTCCGGTTTAATACTACAAATACTAATTTTGTCTCATATATATATATATATATATATATATATATAGCTTTAATATATTAATTTGTTGATGTTTAATTAATTTTTTACTAAAAATAAAATAAAAAAATGAAGTTTTACCGAGGGAAATTACATCATTGAGTCAAATTAAGCATAGTTCAACTGGTAAAAGCATCTATCTTCTACCAAAACAGTAGTTCGATTCTCACCCCCACATGTTGTATAAGTACATGCATGCTTTAACCATTGAGATATATATATTCACTTTAGCGATTATTTGAATAAGTTTTTGGTCTAATACTTTTAAAACATCCATTTTGATCCCTATATTTTTAAAATGTGACCATTTTGATCTATATTTATAAAATTTTAACACAAGTTGTTGTAAATATACGCACCTATGAATTTATAGCTAAATTCTAAAAATAAAAATGAAGTGACCAAAAATGGACGTTTTAAAAGTATATAGACTAAAATGAACAAAAGTTAAAAGTATATAGAGAGATTAAAATAGTTGTTTTGAAAGTATATGGACTAAAATAAATAAAAACATAATTGACTAAAATAGTATTTAAACCTAAATTATATAAAATTAAACCAAGAAGACATTGAAAAGTACATGTCAAAATTAATGCTCAAATCTAATTAGGAAAATACTTGAACCTAAATCATAGAACGTCAAAATAAAAAGGAATACAAAATTCGTTATTGTTGTTAAAGTTATCTGATAATTATTTTTTACAAAAGTATTTAGCAATCTGTTCGATGCTAGTAAATACTTAATATTTTTGTAAATTTATTTTATATTTACTTTATAGGTTTAAATTCTATCATACTCTCTAAACTTTCAAAATAGGTATTTTGATTTATGAACTTAAACAAAATTATTTTAGTATTAAACTTTTCTTATAGCACAACAGTAGCCAAAAAAAAATTATTTTTTATAATAATAATTTCATTAAAATAATTAGATAGTATAGAAATTTCATTGATGTAATATAGTTTTATTGATTAACAAATACTTTGTTCCAATACCTTATTGTCAATTTACATTTACTTTCTAGAATTCAAACAACAAACATGAGTAGATATCGAACATTCGACTTTAAAGTAGGTTATAAGTTCATTATCTACTTGAGCTAGGTTCAATTTGACCATTTAAATTTAACTATCGATCCTGATCAATTATATGTATTGATAAATAAAACATCAATAATATGTCACCGAATTTTATGATTAATGTATAAAATATTTGAAATTTTTGCATTAAGTTCAACTAGTTGAAGAACGCGTTAGCTAAGCTAAGTTCTCTTGAGATTGTAGATTAAAAAAGGGTTTAAAAAAAGTCTGAGAATTGCTGCTTTACTTTGACTCGCAGGAGATGTGATTAAATATTAATATACGGCTGTAATTTAAACAGGATGAAAAACGACAAGTCGCATTTCTTAGAGCGCAGTATCGTTTTCAGTCAAAAAAGTTACGTAACTCAAAATAAATGAGAACGCATCCCATATCCAAAATTTAATGATTTAATACTAAAATAAAGCCAGTTTCTGGTAAAAAAAAAATGATAAACTAGTATTGAGAATTATTGAAATTAATACTGAGAATTAGGTTGAGACACGAGTATCTCATCCTCTTTTAAGGAGATTTAAGCGTTCTACAGTGTATATTTCTTTATCTACCATCGAGAGAGTAGGTCTTGTATAGTTTTTTCTACTCAAGTTACAACAATCCACAATTGAAATGCCACTTTACACTGGGTCCAAAACTCTATAACAAAAACACTCATCTTTTTAGCCAATTACTCTGAAAATAACAAAAGAGAGAAAATAGAAAAAGTAGAGAAGATAGAGTATGATGTATAAGTTGTATGAGTTATGAAAATGTTGGTAGGGGATTATTTATACGAATTTTTACTTCGAGTAACTTAACAGAAAAATTAATGAATTTTTGTTAATCTCTATTTTCCAAATAAAAAATCAAATATGTTTCTCTAATAAATAAATAAAAATCTCTCGATTAAAAGTCAAAACAATATTCAATAATAAATATTAAAAATGTAACAATAATTAGCATGAATCAAAATCCAAATACTGAAAAAGAGATATAGTTCTTAAAGAATTTAAACGTGAAAAATAAGTAGGCTCAACTAAAAGACGGAGAGGAGAGGAGAATGGTTTCTGTTCATGAATCCTCTTTCATTTTGGTGTGACAAAAATATAGTATTTAGTCTTCGTTGAATAATTGTCGCTGATTTCAATTTCAATTACTTTTAATTTACTTTGGATTAAGTTTAGGAGATTTGTAATAGGTACCATATAAGTTTTCTATATTTAACAAAATAGCATGCTTTTTTTATATTTTCAGATATAGTATTTTTTTGAAAATCCTGATTTTAAAATTTTCAATATTCCCAAATTACCCTTTTCAGTTATCGCTTCGTTATTATATATCACATATATATCAGGAGTATATTTGACAACATTGGTATATCATAAGTAAATCAATAGTATATCAAAAGTCAATCAGTTCTATATTAGTTGTATAATAGTAAATCACTATTTTACCTGCTTTAACCTTTTGTCTTGTATTTTTTTGATCAATTAGAAATTAGTAGGTATTGGCATGCATGGAAAATGAGAAAAAAATTTGATACTTACTGAAAATGAGAAAGAAAACTTGAAAGGAACGTGAATGTGAACGTCAATGGTGATTTTCGAAATTACTATGAATGAAAAATCAATTAGAAATTAGAGGTAAATAGAAATTTAGGGTTTTTCTGTATATCAATAATATATCAGCGATATATCAAGTATACATTGTGATATATACAATTAAGTTTTATTTAAAGTTTTAAAGATCAAAATGAAAGTAGCAACAATGTCATTTTTAAAAGGTTTAAATATCATTCTTGGATATCAACATCAACATCAAATCAGCAGCAAAGTCCTTCAACCAAAAAACTTAAAGGTTTAAACATCAAAACGAACCAGTAGCATAAACCAAAAGTAGACTAACAATGTCATTCTTAAAATTCTATAAAAGAAGAAGCATAAGTTCCAGAAGCATAAGTTCCAACAGTCTAGAAAAGCGTAAGTTTCATTCTTGTATAATCTCTAGGTAAAAGCTTGAGACATCAATCTTCGTTCTTGGTGATTGTCGTGTTTTCGGAGATACTATCTTTAAAGCTTTCTGTTTTTCCATAAACAACACTTTTGGCGTTGGTTTATGTTGTCTTTTGGGACGAACGACATCAACATTTTCGACGATGTTTTTTTATTCATTTTTCGTGTTTGTACCATTGCTTTTATCTGAAAAAAAATTATTTCATATATTAATATATCATAAAACATATATTAGAAGTAATATGTTCGAAATAATTGGTAGATATCATAGTTATATAAGAAGTAAATCAATTTCATATCATATGTATATCAAACATATATCACATATATATCAAGAGTATATATGTTAATCATAGTTATATCAGAAGTAACTCAATAGTATATAAGAAGTCAATCAGTTCTATATCACCTATAGTAGTCGATATCATAGTTATATCAGAAGTAAATCAATTTCATATCATATGTATATCAAACATGTATCACATATATATGAGGAGTATATCTGTCAATCATAGTTATATCATAAGTAAATCAATAGTATATCAAAAGTCAATCAGTTCTATATCACCTATAGTAGTATATATCATAGTTATATCAGAAGTAAATCAATTTCATATCAAATACATATGAAACATATATCGCATATATATCAGGAGTATATCTGTCAATCATAGTTATATCATAAGTAAATCAATAGTATATCATAAGTCAATCAATTCTATGTCACCTATAGCAGTAGATTTCATAGTTATATCAGAAGTAAATCAATTTCATACTATATGTATGTCAAACATATATCACTGATATATATCAGGAGTATATCTGTCAATCATTAGTATATCAGAAGTCAATCAGAAGTAATTTATTGTTGGTTCGGGCCTACATGGTATATTTGTAATTTAGAACGTRGGCCTCCGTTTTTTTACCCAAAAAATACTATATTTGAAAAACTGAAACCTTGTTGCTATTTTGCTTATTTTCCTAACTTTTTTTTGTCATATCTCAAGTTGCCCCTTAATTTTACTATAATTATTTTAAACTATTTAAGGATAATAAGAACCGAGTATAACTAAACAGTAATTGACATATATTTTTAATTTTAGTCGAAGTTATTATATATATATATAGACACACACACGCATTCCAAAAACTTGGAGCTCAACCTACAAGGAGAGGTGTTTGATACAAGATTACTCTATTCTTTCTTTGTCTTTTGATATGACATAGACAAGGTACTGATAAATAATCTTGATTAGTTATTCTTTTGAGTTGTGAGTTCTAATCAATTTAATCTATATTATGAAAACAAACTAGGGCTCAAACATCTAATGATTGAATCAGATTCTGCCCAAGCTCTCAATCTGGTTGAAGATTATTCAGAAGACAATGGCTGAAGCTGGTACTTGGCTTGCTGCAAAGGCAGATGGAAACCTGGAGAAGGGTTATTCCTTCATGGTTAGCTTAGATTAGTTGGGGAGAGACTTATCAATAGACTAAACTTGCACAAATCAAGATTAAAGATATATTAGGTACAGTAAGTCACTTGCCTGTTTTTATTTAAAAAACAAATCAGGCATTTAAATCCTTCAATTCTTTGTTAATTGGAATTTGCACAGATCTCATGCTTTTGCACTACTCAGGCCAGAAATTTCGGCCTGATTGCTGCAAAGCAAACTAAGTATATCTATATAAAAATATCACAAAGTGTTTAATGTGTGCTCAGTTTATTATTTACACTGAGCATTTACTGTTGTTGAAAGTTCTTGCAGATTCATATGAATGGATGGATTCTCCAGTTTCAACAGTTGAAGCACTTCTTTCTCCATCACCATTGTTTCTCTCATCAGACACTCCATACAGAACCCAATTGAACCCAAACACAGTGTCATTTGGCCTTTCAGATTTGCCTCGCCTTCATCATTTGTGTAAACTTTGCTCAATATTTCATTTGCATTTTGACAGAAGGAACCCACAATTTTCTCAACATCTTCTTCACTGAGACCAAGAGCTCTGCATCCATCATTTTGAGACTTCCCCATCTCCATTTCATCACACAGGTTCTGGTTTTTGTTCTGCAATTCCTTTAGGGACTTTACTAGACTCACCTTCTCCATGAATTTCAGAGAACATCCAACTTTTTTGTTGAAAAGCTCCATATCTTCACTTAAACTATCATGCAGCTCCTTCACAACAAGCCCTGATCTATTAAGTTCTAGAGATAGAAACTTCATTTCATGAACCAGAAACTGTAAGATATCCACTGTTTTCTGAAGAGATTTCAGAAGCTTGTCATAGCAGCCACCTTGAAAAGGGGTGAACCAGAAATTGGGCTCATACCCAGCTTCTATGATGAACTTCTCTAATTGACCAACATGAGATTTCAGAATTTTGTGCTTTTCTATCAACTGGATGAAAATGGAAGATTCATTATTCAAGTTCTTTTGGGGAATGAGGATTACCCTTTCGATGCAATCCTGAAGGGCGCGCAAACTTTTTGAGAACTCAGCTTTTGCCAGAGTTGCTGCTCTAGTTGGGTTGAAGACAACCTCCACTGTCACAAAACAAAGCAATCCAATGCAAGCTTCTGTGATTCTAGCATTTGCAAACTCGGATGGAATCCCATAATTCTTCCTCCCAAGAACCAGCAACGCGCCTAATGCTGATGCTATTCCACCAGATTGACCATACATTCTACTATGGATTAGAAAGCTGGTAAAAACAACCCAAGGGAGAAGAGGTAAGAGCCATAGATACTCATATTTCTGCAAAATAAAACAGCATATGACACCATAGATTGACCCGATTGCAGTCCCCTGAGCTCGAGCGTTTGCAACAGTAAAAATTGCTTGCCTCTCAGTTGCAAAGCTGATGGCAACCGTCAACCCAGACCAATACCCATTGGGTTTTGTATAAGTCAGACCCAGAAACACAGCCAGGCCCAAAGTAACCGAGCACTTCAGCGCAAAATACAAACTCTGATTCGTCGGCAACATGTTCGACAAAATGCCCCAACGAGTACTTTTGGTACCATGGCCCCCCAAATCGATTGCTTCCTCCCCGTTGGCTCTCTGGCCGTTTTCGACGCTGGGGACGAGATTCCGGGCGGCGGCGGCGGCGGTGGAGTCATACAGAATGATTTCCATACAACGCAAGAAGAAAGAAGGCGGCAGATTGTGAGGGGCAATGGGAGAAATGGGGGTCGAAAACACGGCCTTCGTCTCGGGCGCAGTCGTGGCATTAGGAGGAATGGAGATTTTGAGTTGCTGTAGCTTTGTGATGGCTTTGGGTTTGAGATTTTTGGGCAAATTGCAGAGCTGTTCGTCCATTGTTCCGAAGGCAAATGAAGGGGAAGTTAAGGCGGCTTCCATCCCTCTCATTGCCACTTCAAATTCTTCCAACTTTCCTGCAATGTCCATGCGGCGATCGGGCTTCACGAGGCTGATCCGCGGCCTCTCCCAATTCATCCCCACCTGTTCGCAAGAACAAGACTCGCTTAAACACCAGAAATCGCTTAATCATAGTCATTACATAAGATCATCTCTTGTACCATAGGGCTTCATTCTCATGCATGATTAAAATATAACGGCACTAAAGTGGATGAAAATGAGAGTATAATGTTCCACTAAAAGTTAAAAAAGTACAGTAACCGAAATCAACTAAGTGCATATGATGTAGAATATTTGAATTCTAATTTTCAACGACAGAATGAAATTTGAACCTTCGATATTTTAATATTTATAATATATGTGTTGAGGATTTAAACTTTTGACGTTTGGATGAATGATATATATTCACCCAGTTGAGTTATATTAAGATTGGCAGTTGACATAAGTACATGAATTAAATTATCATCAAATAAAAATTCACAAAGGTTGAAAAACATTTTTTTGCCAGTATACTTTGATTAGAGTAACAATAATTTAGTCCTTCAACTCATCAACAATAATAATAATACTTCATCAAACTTAAATTAAAAATTACCTATTAACTAGCCAATAAATCATACAAAATTCAACTAACAAAACACCTAAAATCATGTGATAAAAATGTATTTGAAATTTATCCACGAAGTCAAGTAGATAAATATCGAACGCTATTAAAAGAAATAATATCGTATTTCAATAACTAGCTCACGAATATCAAAATAAAAATTAATTAAGTTATTAATCCCATCATGTATTCAAAGAGGTGATATAATTAAAAACTTAAAGTTGAAATTGGCTCACTCATTTTAAAACCCATAATTAAATTTTAGACCTTTTTTTCAACAAAAATTTAAATTCACGTTAACTTAACTCATAATCAAGAGGTCATGAGTTCGATCTCTCTCATTTATTATATTAAAAAAACAATTGAAACATGATCCAAATTCAAGAAAAAACTTCCTAGCACTCTGTCAAAATTCAAATCTTCCGATAAAAATCGCAATTTTTTCTAGAACAATCTCAAACTAGCCCAATTTTCAGCACTCACATTATGGCAGAGAGTTTCCCCAAATTCAATCCCTTTCTCAAGTATTAATTGTTCTCTATTCCTACACGAAAAGTTGTCGTATCTATTGGAACCATTATTATTTTCATACCATATAATAGCATTTTTATCCCAAAAAATAATAATAATAATAAAAAATAAAAAACAAGCTTTTGGTTGACGAAAATTGAAGCTGAAGTAGGCTTACCAGAATTATCTTGATGCTTCGAAGAAGCTTTGTTGCAGTCGCTGATAGAGACTTTGCTTCGGCAATTGACGGAATTGCCCCTGCCTTATTCTTCGCACCGAACCCTTCCACCATTGCCCCCACCCTCTCGCAACCATTCTCACAATAGCCTCTACAAAGTTTCCTTATCTGCCCCCACACAAAAAACAAAATTATTATACATAAATATTCTAATTTTATTTAGACTAAACTATATTAAATTAAGTATTGTTCTTAAATATAATAATTGCTATCAGTTTTAGCTCTGGGTGTTTTAAAAATTTTGATTTTAGTCTCCATATAGATACTTTATTATTAATTTTTTTTTTTGTAATTTAACTTTTTAGAGAATTAGAGATAAAATTTATGTCCATTGAAGCCAAATAAATTATATAAAATGTCTTGTAATGTTGAGGGTAAAAGTAAAACTTTCAAAGTGATTGAAGGCAAAATTAAAATCAACCATAGGAGCATTTCGTATAATTCAATATTTAAATTATTTAAGATCCATCATTGATTTTGGAACTTCATATTCACAGCAATTATACAATTTGGTGGGCCAATATATTCTAAGAATGGCATATAATTTTACTCGAATTTTCATACACACATCTTATAAATCAATCTAACTTTCAACATTTTTAATTCCTTTTTATTCAGAAGTGAATAAAACCGTTCACTTACAACTAATAATTTTGAGAATATGTACTGAAAAAAACAATAATAATTTTGAGAATATGTTGTTCTTAAAAATATTTATGAAAAAAAAAAGATCGCCTTTTGCCATTACACTTGGCTGCGTGAATCAAAATTTACTTTAAATATATAAAAAAACAATTAATTAAACTTTTGTCGGTATATCATTTTTGTGAGTCTTGATTTATATAATTATTTATAGATTTATTTTTTTCAATAAAATTTAGACATTTTTAGTGATCATATTGTCTTTTTTATGTTTTATTGCTTAGATTTTAGTACTTTTTTCTTTATCCAATGCATCTCATAGTTGAAATGGAAATTAATTACCGCTTTTTAACTTTTAATATTTTGTTCAATTTATCATAAATTGAACAAATAAGCATCTCAAATAATTAAAGCAACAGCATTAATTTGTATATAGTTTGAAGGTTAAAATCTTTACTCCATATTTATAATATATAATATTTTAAAAAATAAATTTTCATTGTTATTTTCATCCACATTAAAAAAATTACTAGTTAAAGTGGTAAAGTGACCAAGTTAGGCCAGCAACTCAGTATCAAAGCCCAAAGAAAAATATTTTCTTCAATTTGTTTTTATTTTTCTTAAAAGTACATTTAAATTTTTAGACAAATTTTTTTAAAAAAAAACAACGTCAAATATTTTAAAACTACCTTTTTAATTTTCAAAATTTTTTAAAAAGTAGATAAAAAAATAAAGAAATGAATAGGTGAAAATATATTTACATGGTTATTTTAAAAAGGTAAAAATGATTGTCAAGAAAATTTTGAAATTTGCGTTTTACCCTGCCCTTAAATTTTAAAGATTTAAAATATTAATGTGTAAAAAAATTAGAAGGTAAAATTTTGAACTTTCTATGAAATTTTTTGCCTTGTGTCTCTGAACGATCGTTTTACCTGGCAGGAGGAAAGGCGTGGGTACGGAATCATCATGGCAACGGCGGCGGCGAGAGCTCCGGCCGCCGTACTCGACGCAACGCGAAGTGGGTGCATAAAAAAACTCGTCTCACCGCCGTGAATCGCCGTCCCCACGTACACAATCACCAGCTGTCCAAACGCGATGCGCTTCGTCAGCAAATGGGCCCGCTCCGACAGCGCCACCACAAAGGCGCTGACGGCCACCGCCGCCGCCGCCGCTACACTGTTGAACCGCGCCGTTCCGATCAGCCACAAGCACGGCACGGACGTGACTAAAACCGACGTCACAGCCCAAGCCACGTGGCAACAACCTCTGACAGCGTGGCCGAGGGAAACGGCGTCGGAAAGTACTATCGAAACGGTGGTGACGTAAGAGAAAGCCGAGAACGTGAGCATGTGACGCACCGGCGCCGGCCCGAAGAGCGTGACCGCGCCGACTATGCTGCATGCCAAAGCCGCTCGTAAAGCCGAGCCGAGCCGGATCCGCCACAGCGCCGCCGTCGCCACCGCCATTATTATTGAACAATAGAATCGGAAGTGGGTTGAGAGAGAGAGAGAGAAGCAAAGAGCAAAGAAGTAAGTAACTAAAGCAAAGTGTGTAAAAAGATCGAGTCTTGTCTTTGTTCCAATTTTTTTGTTTTTAACTTTGCATTTAATATATAAGCCAATGTTTGGTGGTGCACAGTGGAATTGGGAATACTTTAGCATTAATTTTTGTAAAATTACATGTTGGGAGAATAATAATGGCACTCCAATATATTTAACATTTTGTTTCAAATCATAAGATAAATCAATGTCAACCAGAGAAGATCAATACTTAGAAAAAAATATTAAAAAAAATCATTACATTATTGTTTCAATCCCTATACTTTAGTAATTGTGTTGATCGATCTCAATTTGATACACTTAATTAGTTGAGTAGCTTTACAATATATTTTTATTGAAAAGATGAGTATTGTTCGATAGTTGGGTCATCTCTCATAAGATTTATCTGTAGTATTTTATTCTAAAATATTCTTATAAATTATCTATAATTTATTTATACAACTTTATTAACGTTGATTAATTACTGTGAATTATAATTTTATTTAAATACAATTTTGAACTTTTAAAGAGATCATTGTTCTCCCTCTATTATACTCATAAAGTATTGTCAAGCGCCTGTGTGAATATTATTATTTTTTCTTTATACTTTACCAAAGTAGACATAGTTCAGTGATAATTGATATATATCTCTTTTATGAGTTCGATCTCTCATTTTTATGTACTCAAAAAAATGATTATCTTGAAACAATATCTAATACGTCTGTAAACGTCTAATGACCATAAACGTATAATTTATCTATATTTTAATATAATATAAAATATAATTGCAAAAATTTGCAACCAACGTGATATGGTATATATGAATGGAGAAGCAAAATTGATTACCAATTAATTATATCAATTTGACCAAAATCCAAGGAGTATAATTGGTGTTATTTAAGTTCACCAACATGGAAAATATGTGGTCAGTATCGTCTCCTAATAAGTGGCCAATGGCGTTTATTTTATAAGGTATTTTATTTATTTAAAATTTTATTTTTTAATTCAAAAAATATAGACGAAAAATAAAAATTTGAACCTCTAGAGTCGTAGAAAGTAAAGAATTACTTTATACCTTAATATCTTAAATTATGTTTAGAATTTTGAATGAAGTTTAGTCCTTTTTAACACGAGTTGTTATTGGATGAAATATCTAACATAAAAATCTTGATTTACTTCAATAATCTATATCTATTATTACATGTGTCCCATATGAAAACAGTATTATCACTCATTTTTTATTTTGGATATATATTGTTTTCCATTTTTTCTTAGTACTTCGATTTATTCCTCATTTAACGTAATAGATAGCTMCTTGGCAAGTTACAATAAATTTAATAAATAATATCTTTTTTTATTTACGTTAAACAAATTTGATATTTGAATTTTCAATATTGTATCTAATAAGTCATTGAATTTTTTTTTAGTACAAGAACATGAGAATATGGGTGATCGAGGGAATGAGTACATGTCAATTAGAGCTAGGTTCATGTTGGTATGAGTAACTGAACTTTAAAAAGTATTTTATAGGTTTTCTAAATTTTCGATATCGTGTATCTACTTGATCATTGAATAAAARGTTCCAATGATATTGTCAAAAGTGTTTTTTTAACCTAGATTCTAGAGTTTCTAAATTTTTCATTGTGTGTTTAATAGATATCAATGATATATAAGACATTTTTTTTAATATAAGGAATATATTTAACATAAATTCAAGGTTAAAAAGGTCTCTGTACTTATGCTAAGATAACGATTTTGTCCTTTAACTTTAGTTTGTAACGATTTAGTCCATATACCTTCTAAATTGATAACAATTTAGTCCTCAAATTTTAATATGTAATAATTTAGTCATTTTAAGTTAAAGTTTGTAACGATTTATTCCTCATCGTAAAACTTTTTTGTTAAGTTTATTATATATATCGATTGATAAACCAATGGAAGACCAAAATATGTTTATAAATTAAAAATATTAAATTGTTATATGATAAAACTTGACACTTAATTTTAATAAGATTTTTTACGATAGGAACTAAATTAGTACAAATTTTAAACGACAGGAACTAAATTGTTACAAACGTATTAAAGTTTAGAGACTAAATTGTCATTTTAATAAAAATACAGAGACTAAATCGTTACAAATTAAAATATATTGACTAAATCGTTACTCTAGTGAAAATATAAGAACTAAATGTGTTTTTTAACCTAATTTTTATTAATTTTTTTTTAATTTTTAAAAATGTATTAAACATAATATTGAAAATTTAGAAACTCTATCAGACAAATTTGAAAGCTGAAGAACAAAAACTATTTAACCTTTCACTGAATACTTGATTTATTCCTCGTTAGCCCAATTTGTGGTTCTCAGCTCACAAGTAACAATAAATTGGATATTAACATTTTTCAATTAATACTTGCAATTTATTCTTCATTAGCGTGATGTGTGGTTCTTTGACTCTCACAAGTCAAAATAAATTGGATGGGGTTAAATATATGTTTTAGTATTTTTTTTAAAATATTTTAAACATTTTTTAATTTTGTTCTTTAATTTTAACCCTTTTTAATTATATGATTCTAGTAAGTAAATATTAAAATTAGCTAATGATAAATTTATATGGAATGATATCTAATGAACTCTAAAAAGTTTAGTTAATACATTAAACCATACAAAAGAAAATTTTGAAATTTTTGTTAATTTATAAATTTGGAGGAACTCAAATCTTTAATCTATTCCAGAACCTATTTTTTTCTCTAAATTTCTATAACTCATAAATTATTATATATCAGGTAAAGTTTAGTGTCATTTAATTTTAACTTTCATCAACAAAATAATATAATTAAAAAATATAAAAATATAAAAATATAAGAGATTAAATTAAAAATTTTTAAATAATAGAGACTAAATTTAAAAAAAAAAACACTACATACATTTAACAATTGGATTATTAGTATTTGTTTACTTAATAATTGAGCTATTCCTCATCAAGCCCAGTGTGAGACGCCTTTTTTTAGGTTCTCTCACAAGTTACAATAAATTAGATACGGATAAATTAGAGAGTCTATTTTTTTTAGAGTAGAATTCGAACTCATAATTTTGGAGAGATAGGTGTTGAGTTATGGTCAGATTTGCTATTAGACAATCTATTGTCGACATCTTTCATATCTTATATAAATATTCATTAAATATAAAAAATAATCAATTAATCGCTAATAATGTAAATATGATACTAACACTAAGAAGTATAACTTATTTAGGAACGGAGAAAAACTTAATTTTCCTTTTTTTCTTTTTCTTTTTTTTCAACAACATGGGAGGGAAGATTTGAATCTCGACCTTTTGGTCAAGAATATATGTCTTAACGAGTAAAAGAATTTAGTTATTAATTGAAATAACTTTTATATAAACATTTTAGTTTACTATAATATCCATCGATATTGATATTTCATTGACATATCCATTGACGTAAAATTAAAATCTTGATATTGAGATCGGTATTGTATATGTATGTATGTATGTATGTATATTAGGCCAACCTAAACATAGTTCGATTAATTAAAGCATATCTCATTGACCAAAGTTAAATTTCTATACCCGCGTGTTGTTGAACTAGAAAATAAATATTTACATACGTACAAATAAGTGAAGATTGAACCATTCCACCTTAGGAATGATCATAATATTTAAAACATTGCTCAGACATTGAGTTGAATTGTTAATGTTTATGGATTTCTAATATGACTAGATAATTGGTAAGATCAAATATGACCAAGCTTAGGAGGGAACTTGGTGAGGAAGACGACCAGCACAAACGAAATGTCTCTTACGCTCAAGTCGGTAATGGACCAATCTAGGGTCTCAAGTTGAGGTTCATATCACAAATCTAGGGAGTCAAGTGATAGTGCCATTCGACTATTCTGTTGTACTACTAATGAATTTGTTACATAGTCACGAATAGGGGTGTTCAAAAAACCTGACAACCCGATGAGAACCCAACTCAAATTGTAAGGGTTGAGTTTGGTTAGATGAAGCCTCGGGTTGGGCTGTAATTTTTCTAACCCGATCGGATTGGGTCGAGTCTCAGGTTCAACCCAGGTCAACCCAATCCAACCAGAATTTATGCATTTATGTGTATTTTTACTAATTATATGTATAATAATATCTTTATTTTCAATGTCAACCATCCATTTAGTGTTAATCCTAATCCTTCATTTAAAGTTTTTCTACTATCTTCTTTCATTTTGTATCTTAATCTCAATCGTCCATTAAGTTTTAGTCCTAAATCCCCGTCACAGTCATGATAATTAAAAATTAAAAATTAAAAAAAATAAACCGACAACTCAACCTGAAAATATCAGGTTGGGTTGGGTTGACCATCCAATTCAAACTCGACGGTTCCTATATATGGCCAATCCGAAAATTTGGGTTGATCCCAAAATCCCTCATAATCTGACTTAACCTAACCCGTGAACAACCCTAATCACGAATTGTTGGGTTCGTAAGATCGGAGCATGACATTATCTTTGACCGAGTTTACAAGTCACATTTTGGTCGAATTTCAAGGTTGGCCACATCATGTCTCCTTCGAAGAAAATCCTAACTCACCAATCACCCCTATTTCTCAACGCGACACGTCTATTTTTAATTTTTACCCTCTAATAATTTATACTTGTTTACTAAATTAATTTGTCACATCCCGCGCTTAATTATTGTTCCTTATTTAGACTGAGATAGATGTGGCTCTCTCATATAACAATAAATTTGATTATTAATATCACTACTCTTTTCAACTCTTTTCTCTTGTTATTTTTCTTTATCCGTGTGTTCGGACAAGCTTGCGCACACCTCAATCACGAGTCAACCGCTTGATCCTAGTACATATGATTAACAAGAAAATTCGTAAGATATTAAATCATAGATAGATAGCCACCATAGTTTCAACTCATTATTATWATAAAAGTCTTTGTCTCTAT